AATTCCACCCAGTGAGTGAACTGGGCAGATGTAGGCAAACACCAGCAGCATCACTTGGGGCCAAGCTGGGGATGCCTGGGCTCCTAATAGAGCCATGGCAGATAATGTCAGTTTCCTTGTTGTAGGGGTCAGGTCTCAGAGACCCTTCCATGTCTCCAAGGACCTGCATGAGATGGGCAGAGGATGGGGGGTGGGAAGGCCAAGAAGGAGGAGACTTAAATGCTAAGACTCTGATATCACACTTCCTAGGCACAAATCCCAGCCCTGCCATCTTGGGCAAGTCTTTTGCCTCTCTGAACTTCAGTGTCATCTCATCCATGAAGAGAATGTGTTGTGCACTGGAGACAGGGCCTGCCAGATAGAATGCTCTGGAAAACTGCTAGTTGCTTATGGAAGTATTTGAATCCATAGCACCAAGGCCTAAACCCTAGAGAGTCGGCATTAGCTCCTGGATGGGGTGGGAAAAAGATCCTGGAAGCCCAACAAAGAGGATCTTGAAGGGAGGTTGGAAGCACAGCTTTTTAATCAGGCATGCTATAAAATATCTCAAAACAACAGGGGGCCTGTTGCATTTGTAGGTTTGATGCTTTTGTCAAATCTTGTTAGCAAATTGCTCACCCCTTTCAGTTCAGAAAGCTCCAGTACAGTAGCACTCAAGCTCCTCAGATTCTTTCCTTCAAAACTGGGGAGAACCTCGGGCACAGTGAAACCATTTAATTTCTAAGGACTCCATTGTACAGGGCCACCAGCCCATCCACGTGTTCCTGACTTGTTGACTCCCTAACAAGTGGCTCTGCAGAGGCTGATCTGACCGGTCTAGAGATGGTAGGTGAGGGGGTGGCAGCTGCCAAATGCGGAAGGGCCTGGCCTGTCCAGTAGCCCCACTGGCCTCAAATCCAGCTCTGCAGCACCAGCCCCAGCAGGCCAGCCCCACCCATGGAGTAATGGAACCTGTCCTCCCCGGAGGGTGGGGCATCCAGGGTCCACTGCCTCTCCCTCTACATCTCATTCGCATTCTACCTTCCTCCTGCCATTATGGATAAGAAGAGCCCCTCCGCTCAGAATGTGGCCCAGTCAGCTGACCGTATAGAGGCCACTTCCTTTCTCCACAGGCCTTTCCCATAGGCTCTGTGTGAGGCAGCAAAGCCGTTGGATTCCTTTGTGTAGTCCCAGGTCTCAAGGCCAGGCAACATTTTCCTGTGACTCACCTCCAAGATGCAGTCAGAGAAACTGGAAAAAGTCTATCTCCTAGTGCTCCTTCCAAAGTTTGAAGGGGCTAAGTCTGGGTATTTTAATAAGTATTTATAAGCCTCTACTATATAGCAGGCTCTGGGCTCAGGTGTAACAAGGAAACTTTGAGTCAAAGGTGAGTATTAAGGCAGGTTCCACTGCCCCAAAGGCAGGGACTCTGGACAGATTCCTGGAAGAGGGGGCAGTGGGGCTGGATCTTGGCAGATGGGAATAGGTTCCCCACTGTGAGAAAAAGATGTCATGTAGGAAAGGAAAGGAAAGAGGGCAAGACTGCAAAAGCCTGGAATGCCACATTTAGAGACTCAAAGTGTGTAGTCAAGTCCCAAATCCCTGTGTGATCTCAGGTGAGATTTCTGACTCTCCAGGGATTCATTTCCCATCTGTTAGGGAAAACAGGCCCTCTTTGGTGTTGTACTTCAGGGCATCATCGTGATCCCACATGCAGCACACAGAGTAGCCTCACTCACTGTGGCCATCTGGCACCAAGGTCCTGGGGGAAACAGCCCCACCAACCTCCTTGTTACTGGGACATGGAGGAAGTTGCTCACTGCAGGGACTCCACCTGGAGGACTTGGCAGGGTACCACCACTCCAGTGTTCCACTCTTCTTAACAAAAGAGTAAAGAGGAAGTATCAGTAGCCTACAAGGGCTTCCAAAAGGCTCCAGTGATCAGAGGAAAAGGGCCCCCACCCCTGCAGTCCACAGCAGGACCTCACCTCTCCTCCCATATGCAGTCCCTCTCTGTCTCCTCAGGACCTTCTATTACTTTTATTTAAAGGTACTAAGTGCCATGGTCACTTCTGCTTGCCAGAAGGGCAACAACCAAGTGAACGGGACAAAAAGTCAGGAAGGAGGGAAGTTCTAACCCTTGCTACAATCTCCCTCCCTCTCCTATCAAGCCTATGACTTCTGACTGCTCATTCCAGGTTCCAATTTTCACATATGTGATAAGGTTTGAGGGACTGAGTCTTAGAGGTGATGGGAAGACTGATGAGTGACAATCTGTAGGCCTGGTCCAGTTAAAACTAAAGGTAAGGCAGGCCAATTTACCAGTGAGGCCTGGGAGGGGGCACAAGCAAGGGGTCAGCAGAAGGAGCATGAGGTCTGCCTGCCCTCCATGTGCTCCCCTGAGGCAGCCTGCCCTCCAGTTCTTGCCAACAGAACAGTAACAAGTGCTTGGGGTGGAATGGAGCACAGAAAGGTTGAACTGGCAGTGGAACTTGGCCAAGGGAGATCTTGGCCAAGGGAGATCTTGCTGTGGGCAAAGCCATGATGGAGCAAGCAGTAGTCAGCGGCTAAGGGAAAGAGGAAGAGGCCCAGCTCCCCAGGGAGGAGGTGCCTGCTCCTCCTGGGCCCTACCAAACAGCAACAGCTACAGGGACAGCAACCACAGTCTTCCTGTTTTATGAATGCCAGCTGCATTCCAGGCTTCCTGCTCAACACTATCTGCCATCCTGGGCAACAGGGTCAGAGGAGCAGGTATGGAAAGAACAGCAAAGATGGCCTAAACAGGTTCAGGCTACAGGACAAGGACAGGCCAGCCTAGTAATCTGAGGTATAGCCCTGGGGAGGCAGAAAGGCACCTAGGCTGAGCTAGAGCAGCTGGGGAGAGGGTAAGGCAGAGGCAGGAAGAGGGCTAGGACCCGTTCATGAGCTGGCTGAGCTCCCTGGGCCCAAATCTCCCCACGTGCTGAGGCCTCCAGGTACTAGGAGAGGGTAGAAGCAAAGTGAGGAGATACCATCTCTACTGACATGGCCACAGTCACAATCACGAAACATACACAGTCACTATGCCAGAAGGTGGGCTGGCACCATTTGGGGATGGAGTAAGGGCCTGCCCAGTTGGGTAAGAAATTCTACACTTGGTCACTGGGAAGGAGAGGAGCCAAGAAGAAGGAGCTAGGGTGAGGGCCACATCTAACCCCTATCATCCTTGAAGGTCAATTTAGGGCCAGGTCCTAAAGATGCTAAGCCAGGAGCCCCAGCCATGCTCACCCATAATCTAAAAGGGTTCAAAGAGGAACCCACTCCAGGCCTGCCCTAGTTCTCAGCCCAGGACAGGGGAAACACTGAGGCCCTAGATCCAAAAGGAGGTGCTGTGGGAGTCGTTGCAGTCAGAAGTTCCAGGCCACTTGTCAGATATAGTATCTATGGAGAAGGGACTAGGCCCACCCTGTACTTAAAGTCAGCACTGCCTAGTCTCACAACTCTGGCCTCCCACCTACTCCTGCCTTGTTTACAGGCCAAAGCCCTGGTATTGAGAAGAGGTTCTCTGGCTTCCAGCAGCCCCTCACCTCCCCCAGGCTGCCTCCTATCCTAGCCTCAAGATGGAAGAGATAACTAATGGCAAGAAAGAGAATAAAGACTCATTTCTCATCCCCTCGTGCCCATCTGTCCCTCAAAAGGGATCCATCTGTCCCTTTTCCCTGAAGGACTCAAGAGAATCCCATGTTAAAGACAGCCCCAAAAGTCCATTCCACTGTTGGGTTAGTGGGTAAAGAAGCTATGTTGGGGGCCAGTTCCACCGGTTCAGTCTGATCTTCCCCCAGATCTGCCCTCATGATCTCTCTAGAACCATCAGGGGAGATGACCTCCTCTATCAGCCCCAGTGCCCCTGGATACTTATGGATCCCTGCTCAGACACTTATGGATCCTGTGCCCTAAATAAGTCCCATAGCCTCTCCAGGTCTACACCAGCTCTATACCAAGTACTCTACCTGCTTTGTCTCATTTCAAGCCCACATCAACCCTTGCTCTTTCCCCCCGAACAAAGGCAGAAACTTGACTTCAAGAGTCCAGGATAGTTGTCCAAGGTCCCAGAGCTGGAAAACACAGAGCTGAGAGCCACATCTGTAGGACTCTGCACTCAGGCTCATGATTGCAACTTATAAAACAGAAAAGACCTTTTGCTGTGCTAACTTCCAGGAGTGACTCTCCCTGTTCTACCCATGCAGGTGCCACTGGCTTGAGCTACAGATGAATAAAGTTCCCAGTGACAGTATATTCAAATGATTCTGGGTATGGGTTGGGGTCCTGGGCTAGAAATGGGTGTATTAAGCCAGAATCAGGTACCTAGATCAGCTACTCCAAGACGCCCACCTAGATTAGTATGCCAGGCTTCCAGGGAGCCTAGAGTATGATGTAGGTAAATGGCTTGCCCACCCTCTACCCAGGAACTAGGGTGGGTCAGGCTTGGAGCAGGGCCTATCCCATTCAAACTGGGGCCAATGACTCAGACGTCCAGCAGCCATCCCCTGTCCTCAGGTACGATGGGTATCAGCCTTGCCCACTGACCAGCTCTGGGAGGCTCACACCATTCCAGGTAGACCAGGCACAGGGAGGAAGCAGCCCAACCTCAAGCTTTGGTGGGGACTGAATCTCAGGCCAAGGGAAACTCAGACCCATCCCAATCACAGGAGCTTCTCATGGTGCAGCCAAGCTCTATCAGCCCACCTCAGGCCTGAACACATAGGCCCCAAAGAACCTGAGTGTAGAGCCACTCCCTCCCTCCTTCCGGGTTCAACAGCTCTACCCAGACTGACTCCACCCCTCGTTGAGACTCCCTAGCTTAGCTAGGCTCTGTCTCTTTTTTCCCATGTGTAAGAAGATCATGAGTTTATCCTTACAGAAGACTATGAAGATGAAACAAGATGCTGAGAAAAGAAGTTTAGCAAGGGCCTTGGACATAGGTGCACCCAAAGGTGTCTGCTGTTGGGCTCTCCTCAGGCCTCAGTGAAGGGGTCACTAACCTTCAAAGCACACTTCTGCCCAGTGCGCCGATGGAAGCACTCCAGCACCTTGCCGTTCACACCCAGGCCCAGCACCTGCTTGGACAACTGGTAGTCATCGGTCACCGCATACTTCTTGGGCTCTCGCCGTCCCCCAAGAGCTGGAGACCCGCCCAACCCAGGTCCACCGAGTGCACCTGGAGGGGGCGCAAGGCTCTCCTGCTCCTCTGCGGTCTCACTATCCATGGCCCCCACGGGGCGCTCAGAGATGGCCCCAGCCTGGCGCGTCCAGGGACACCTGGGGAAAAGGAAAAGAGTAACTCCACGTCCACACTTTTCCAACATACCCCAGCGTTGGAGCCCGAAAGCTGGACTAGGAAGCTGACCCGGAACAAACTGGGAACCACCTGAAAGTACCAACTTGCGGCCGGGGGCGGTGGTCGAGCTGCCAGGCATAAGCGAGCCCCGCCCCGGCACGTGTTGGAAAGGAAGGAGCCGGGCGCCAAATGGCCCGCCGCATAGGGGGCCCAGGGAAGGCGTACCTGGAGAGGGCGCACCTGGCGGCAATGTACTTGGTGGCGGAGAGGGCGAGAGGGGCAGGGGTGGCGATCGCCAGAGCCAGCAGCCAAGGGGCGCCCTGGGTGGAGAGTCACGCCGCCCGCGACCCACGTGACTCCCCCTCCCCCCCCCCAACTCCGAGCGCGTCATTCCGACTTGGGGCCCCGCTAGGTCAGCCTTAAAGGGCCAGGCAGGCCAGGGATGGCCCAGGCAGAGCAGGAGCGGGATAAATGCCCCGCCCCAGAGCCCCGACAAACTAGGGGGCGTGTCTTCCTGAGGGGGCGGTAACCTTCCTAGCTCTGGGACTCCAGCAGAGACCCCTGCACCTGCTGTGCCAACCCGGGGTTTTACCTGCGACTCAGAAAGAGACGGGCAGGACATTTTGTTTCTCTTGAAGCCTCCACTTAGGTCGGGTGTTTTTCTGCCCGCTTGCCAGGCGGCCCTCTAGTATGGCTTGCTAGACTTCAGACTTTCCTAGTGGTGGCTAATCGCCTCCCCCACCCCACCACTCCGGAAACCAGCTTCTTAATTTTTGCCAAAATGCTGAGGAAAGTGGCAAGTCGTTTGATTCACGACTCACTAGTCCCTGGTGGCTTTGGGCGTCTCTCCAACACTGGGTGACTCTCTCCTTCTGTACACTTCCTGTTCATATTCTTGGCTCATTTTTTCCTTTAGAATACAAGTATTTTTGAATCGGAAATCTTACTTTTTCCACTTGGTCAGATTCATCAACTTTCACCTTATGGTTTGAGCTTTTGGTATTTAAAAATTCTGCACCGGGTGTGGTGGTACACATCTTTAATCCCGGGGTTTTACACTTACGAGGCTGAGACAGGAGGATCATAAATTCCAGGCTAGCCTGGGCTACACGGTAGGTTCCTGACTTAAAAAACAAAAGCAAAAGCAAAACAAAAATCCAAACTCTCTCCCTTCCACCCCAGTGACATGTTCTCTATTAGCTTTGTAGTTTTCCTTTCCATGTTTAGGCCTCTACTTCATTCTGAGCCCAGCTTAGCCTACCTTACATATTTTGAACCAGTTTTACAGAGGAAACTGAGGTGCCCAGAGAGGAAACAGCTGTGTAGAGACACAGCAAGTGTGGCAGTGACTATCTCCTAGGGCAAATGTATGGTCTCCACACATCCCCAAACCCCATCCCCAGGCTGAAAGCTGAGAGAGCCAAGTGAGGTGGCTCTCTTTTGAGAGAAAAGGTGCGGCTCCTGGCAGAGCCTCTGCGCAGGGCTCTTCTGCCATCTACCGGCCATCTTTAGGACTGTAGGAACCATGACCTCAGTCCCATCCAAGCCATTCTTGGATGGGTCATGACCCAAGAGGCCTTCCTGCCACAACACAAACGAATGCCTGGGCTGCAGATCCAGGTTGGTCAGAGAAGTAGCTCCTGGAGAGTGGTACCTTAGTGCCCTGCAACTGTATCCCTAACCCTGAATATCTCTCTGAGTGAATGAAAAGACGCTATAATTATTGTGAGTGTGCCTGTGTTGAGTGAGGACAGGGTTTTGGGATTCTGTTGCTGTCTCCTCCAGGCAACCGTCAAGCTAGCAGCTTGAAGTTTGGTAAAGCACAGTTCTCCAGACAACAGCCTCAGCTGACCATACTCAACACTTCCTGCAGCAGACATAGGTGTGGGCTTTATCTAGACACCCATGACCTCACAAAGACCAGGTAAGGGAGGGCATACCCATCCATTTGACCCACACTGCAGATAAACAGGAGTGACAGCACAGAGACTGGGCAACCTGCTTGATGTCAGCAGCTATCAGAATAGGGCCCCCATTCCAAATTCAAAACACAATCTCAGGGCTGGGCTCTTACTCTCAAACTGCGGCCTCCTCTTGTGGTTTCCTGCCTCCACACACTCATCCACATGTAAAGGCATACTTTTACACATGCACACACACAATGACACAGATGGGCATACATATGCATAGGCAAACCTGTGTAAGAGGTGCTTAAACTTTTTTTGCTATAAAGCACTGTCTCCTTACTTGGGCCCATAAATTAACATAAAAGCAGGAGAAAAGTTTGGCATTCTCTTTCTCCATTTTGTACCTATAGTCCTTTGCTCTGAGTCATTGTCTCTGACAGCCATCCAAGAATCAAGGAAGGACATGACATAACTGATAATATCTTCATGACAAGGGACTGAATCTACCCCTAAGGAGCACCAGAGTCTTGCAGGAAAGACTACCCCTTCAAATGAGGACAATTACCTATAATGATGAGACTGAACACTGAAACAGGAAGAGTAATCATGTCTTGGGAACCAGATCTCTCCCCTCAAGTGATGACAGTGATAACAACTTCTCCAAAACCCTTAAAAGAACAAGAACTGAGATAATGGTCAAACAGGCCCTACTCAACTACTGTCTATACATACCTTTGTCCCCTACCCTAATTCATTGTCTATTTAAAGCTAAAACTCATGTCTGCACCTTGAAGATGGCTGAAGATGAACTGAGTGCTGGGCCATGTAATAAACCTCCTTTCTCCTTTCTCTGCCCTTCATCAAGTCTCTTTATTTATGGCATATCAGGGCAAGTGGCTGGACCTGACACATAGAATCCCAGGAATTTGGGACTTGTGTTCAAAACTCCAGCTTCATGTGCACACAACACATATATGCACCGATATACATGCACACAGCCACACACATTTATGCCCAGCTGGACCCAGGATTGATGTTCCTTAGTCCCACCTGAAAATCAGATCCAAGATCTCAGAGCTTACAGAGAGCCCTCCAATCTGGAAACTTCTACCCCTGAGAGGCTGGAGAAGGCACTGCCCTCTGGATTCAACTGTTTTGGGCCTAGGGAACTTAAGGCTCAGTAAAGGACCCACTGTTATCAGAGGAGGGGTGAGGGATTTCCTACAGCTTCCCAGTTTCCACAGGTACTTGAGAACCATGTGTGAAAAGCATTTTAAGGTGTCATACAATGAGTCTCACAAGGTGAAAGTTTTAGCAAGAATTTATTTTAATGTACAGGATAAAGTAGGGAGAAGTGGGGGGGGGGAACATTTCCTGTTTTCCATACAAGAAATGAAAGTAAAGACTCAAAATTGTGGTTCATATCTGTAGTCTTATACTTCTGAGCTGGGGGAATACAAGTCGAAGTCTAGTAACCCTAATCATTAGACAATGGATCTAGTGGCCAAAATGGAGAGGTCGTTTAGGCCCACCTAAAACACAAGGATAATGGGTGAGTCTTAAGACTTCCCCTTGAAGACATTCCCTTTATTCTTTCTGTCCTTTTACCCATTGGAGGATCACTGCAGCTTGTTAATATCTTGACAAGGAAGACAGATGTAGAGAACCCCTTTTAATTCTCCCTGTTCTTGTAACTTAACATCTAAAAGGTGGAGTAGCTACTCTAGCTTTTCAGTTTTTACTTCCTTATTCTAATGTCTGGCCATTTTAACATTTATTAATACTATAATTTCCATTTCTACATCTATCCTGCCTCATCCTAAGGAATAAAGGGCTAGGCAGATGAGGGTTGAGGCTTGGGCTGGGCATCTCAGTGTACACACTGTGAAGATGTCTTCTTTTCTTAAACATGGAGTTAATTTACGAGTGCTCTAAAAATGGTATAATTATGTTTTTAAGTTTGTCTATTTTTATTAAAATTTTTAATCACATAAATCAAACTTGGCTTGTTGTAATTCATTTAAACCATGCAGAAGTATAAAATGTAAGCAATGGAAATGCTTCTCTCTTCCCAGTCTCATAACTCAATGCCAATATTTACAGACATACAAACATTCCCCACATCCATCATAGACAGAGGGTTTGCAATTATTCACTTAACCCAGGAAAGTCAGAATATTTGGACTATATCCTCTCAGTGCTCATGTTCCAGCAATCACCTGCCACACTGATGGGAGGATTTAGTAGGGATGATGGTTGAGCCTAGGTTCATAATGACCCTCCATAATAGTTGCGTGTCCAAGGGGACAAAGACAGGCCTTTAAAATAGCTTACAGTGACCAAGGGCTCCATGGCCTAAGGGAGGAAGGAGCAGTCCCCGCCCCGCCCCCCATGACTGTGCTTTAGAAGAGGGAGGCTACCCATGGTGAGAGGTTAGAGGACCAAATCAGGTGAGGAAAGCACTGGTGTGTATTATGACTAATGTCGTGATTATTCTGGGTGGGGAAAAGCTGGGGGATCCTGCAGAATTGTGAATCCATAGGGTTCGCAGGAGGGAATATCCTAGGAGGGACAATCTATGGAGATTTAGCTAGTTGCAAGAAGGAGCACCGCTGGGTGGCAGTGTGGGCCCAGCAGTTGGAGAGGGAGGTCATTCACCAGCAGCAGGCAGAGCAGGAGAGGTAATAAGATGGCAAGGCCTGAAGCAAGTTGGCACTTTGGACAGAACAGGAGAACACCAGTGTTTCCAGAAAGCAGGTTAACTGCATAGAGCTGCAAAACTCAAAGTTCACAAAAGATGGTTGGACCCTTGGACTCCTTTGGTTTACATGTATGCTTTGTTTACACATCCTTTGGTTCTATGTGTAATACCGATGGTGTCCCCTTGACATTGACTGACTTGGGAATGGGAAAGCTTGACTGAATACCTTAAGGCTGGATCCTGGAGGTTGCCTATGAGTTGGCAGGTCATCCGTACCTACTGATGAAGTGGAGGGAAAGGTGTAGGGCCTTGATTGTAACCCACTTCTTGCCAGCTATGAGAGATCTAGGGTACATTGTAATCTCTGTGGCTCAGTTTCCTCACCTGTAAGACAGGATAACATGTGATAGCTGTAACTATGAAATGAAGCTTGAAATTGTGAGTGTGTTTATTACCTAGGAATGAGTGTTCAGTAGAGTAGTCACGATGAGCAGGAAGGGTACAGTCTTGGGATAGCAATCTTGGAATTTGACCCCATAAAAACTCAAGATTCAAATCCATAGCTCTGTTGCATGGCAGCCGTGAAGCCCCTTTGTCTTCATAGTAATGGGGCAGTAGACTATTCCTACTGAAGAGCAGGCACCCCACAGGGGCCCCATGCTGGGCTTTCCAGGTATCCCAGCCCTCAAAACAGGTAATGAGGAATCCATCCTGCTCCACACATATTCCAAGAAACTAGTTTCTGGCTTATTCAGGAGGGGCTGACAGGGCTATACTGAAGTCTGGCTTCCCTTCAGGGCAGTTACAGAGAAGAGGGTCCCTTGGAGTCATTTCTCATCTTAACCAATTATTTTTTTCTGTTTCACAGGGTTTTGCTTTGATGTCTCCTTTGTCCTCTGTTCCATCCTGGGTAGGGCACACTAAGCCTTGTCTGCCTTAGGGAAAGCCCAGACACTATTCATTCAGGCCTCTAAACACTGCTAAAGGTATGTCATCTCTGCCCTGCATCTTGCAGCCCACCACTTTTCCAAGGAAACTGGGGACATACGCTGGGCAGTGCTTCAGGGTGGTGGAGGGGTGGGCCCTGCTGACTCTTCAGATCTCATCTCCCTGTGTCCTTCTAGCTCACAGGTTTGGAGGAGGCTCCTCTAGTCCAAGATTCTCCCTGGTGAGTCCAGTGAACTAGAAAAAGGTAGAGTGGGTCAGGGGAGGAGTGTGAACTTCTGATTCAGAGCTGGGATCAAATTCTGGCCCTGCTGTTTCTTTACAAGGCATTTCATTCCCTGAGACTCTATTTTCTCCTTTGCAGAAGTTGTTGAGAATCAGTTGTTGAAAATCAAATATAAAATGTACTTGTGGATGGTAGCAGTGTCACTGTTCTGCTTCCCTCCCTCTATAACACTAACCCCAAATTATCTCTTGTTTGGAACTACAGATCTCTCCTACCATTTTGGGGAGCTTGCCAAAAGTGAGTACACTGTAATCTCTTTATGCCTCAGTTTCCTCACCAGTAAGACTGGGTAACATTGATAATTGTGACTATGAAATGAAGCTGGAACTGCTGAGTGCACCTATCACACAGCAAGCATTCACAGAGGTGAGCAGAAGGGGTATAGTCTCAGGGTAGAGATTTTAGGATGTGGCCCATAAAGACCCAGGTTCAGAATCGCAGCTCTACTGCATGGCAGATGTGATGTCCCAGAATGGACAATTTGGGGGATGACTGTCCTGCCTACCTCCGCAAGGCCATAGTCACTTCCCTTATTGGCCAGGCCAATCAGAGGCTAGGCGCAGGGTCCAGACCTGATGCAAAAGACTGGATGTGTCTTCTCTCCCAGACTCTTTCAAAGAAAACGTTCATGCTCGGATCTCTTTGGCTTGTGGTGGCCACAGGCAGACCTCAGTGGACCAGCTCATTTTTGAGACCGCCCTCTACACTTGACATCTCTCTTTATGTCTCTCTCTAAACCCCACCTCATGCCACTCACCTCCCATGACCCTTTACACAAAGTCCCAGGTCCAGGCGAGGCCCGATAGAGAGGGGTAGCACACGCGACAGTCTGCCCTGGAAGAGCGGCTAGCTAGGACAGCCCAAGACCCCGCCCCCGCATCGGCTCTAACTCAACAGTGAGATAATCCGGCCCATCTCCAACGAAGCAGAATGCCGGAAGGCAATCTGAGCTCGGGTTGCGGGAGCCGAAGCCCCTCCTTCACCTCACTTAACCAAGCCTCGCAAGGGTACCTCTAGGTCCAGCCCCGCATGGGTACGTCAGTCCCGGGCCCACGCTCTGCCATTGGCCTTCCTAGCCACTCGGCTCCACCTCTTGCGTCGCGATTGGTCAGCTCGCTGAGCCCCTCCCAGTTTTCCTGGAAAGTTCTTGGAAATTTGTCAAAGGTGTTTCCTTTCACAGCCCCAGGCTCCAGACACTGGTGCCCTGGCCCCGGCGCCCCTCCCCGTCCCACTGAACAGCCTGCGGTTCTAGGAAGACGCGGCTTCCGGGAAGGGCTGGGACTCGGTGGACAAAAGATTAGGAGGTGGCTGGCCCCGCCCCGTCCGACCGGCCCGCCCCGCTCACCCTCCCTAGCAGCCGGCGCCGCAGCCTCTCAGTCCCTGCCTGTCGTCCGTGCGCCCTGGAACCCTGACCTGCTCTCGTTCAGCGCCCACTGGTTCCCTTCTGTGATCCAGCCAGCCTCCCACTACAGAGTCGCCGCTGCCACCGGGACATGGTGCTTTGCGTTCAGGGGTAAGTGTGGCTCTCCGCCCCAGCGCAGCCTCCGCTGGGGGAGCACGGGAGAGCACAGGCCTCGTGCTAGCTGCCGAACTTTGGGAGGGCTTGAGTGGCTGGAGGTGCGGAAGGATCTCGAGGGGTGCGGCGCCTACACACTTGGGCTGGCAGGTGATAGAAGGAAAGCAGGTTGGGCTCCCCTTGGAGCAGATAGATGGACGCCAACGGCAAGGGAGCCCCCAAGATGTGTCTTAGCAGCCCAGACCAATTTTGGGGCCCAGAGTGGCCGACCTTAGCATGCCGGCTGCCCTACCTACTGGTGACCTTGGGCTAGCCCTTAACTACCTCTGTGTTCAGGTGTCCTCTCGCCTCCTACATGCTAGCAATTAGGCTGTCCTCTGGAAGCCAGTCTAAGATCTTTAACTCTACCCAGGCTGGCGCCTGTTAAACTAATAGCTCTTGGGAGCACCCCTGCAATTGCCTCACCCCTCCTTTCAGCCCAGTCTGGGGTAATAAGGACCTTGGCTCCTGCATCCCATCACCAAGTTTCCCAAAGACATGGGGCGGGGGACAGAAATGGAAGTGGGGTGCTGATAAGACTAAGTCTTGGCCTCAGCTGAGGTTCTGGCACACCTTGCTCACCATGGGCCCTTCAACCAAAGGTCTAGTGTGCTCCACTGATCTGACAGGAGCTTAGAAAGTTCCAAGGAGAAGGGAGGGAATCTAAGTGGGTATTCCAACCCAAGGAGAGCTGGGTGGGCCAGTGGCAGCTGTTATCAGAACTGGCATGGGCATGGTGCCAAGTGAGGGAAAGTGGAAGGTAGGGCCAGGACCAAATACCCCTTGCTCTGAGCAGTCCTTGGTCCAAGGGAGAGGACATGGAAGTACTGGTAAAACTACTTCTCTCTAGCTGTCTCTGCCATGTTCCTTCCTCCTCTGAATTTTGGAACTCTTGAACATACTCTCCAAGCACTGCTTTCTTCTTTGCAAGTCCCCCTCTGCCACCCCCATTCTGGATCCCACAGCCTCCTTCATTTTGCCTTAACTGAGGGGCCCATTGTAGCCTCATGGCAAATAATGAGTGTTTGGAAGCAAGATCTTTCACATACACCCACACCCCTTCCAAAAGCCACAGGACAGCTGGTGCCCTCCTATGGTAGAGGGCAGAGATTCCCAACTCTACTGAGGGGGTCCCCCCTTCCCCTGGCTGAGTTCACCCCGCTGGCATGTGCTCCCAGGCAGGATTCACTGTCTGGGCTCCAAGGCAGGCACACACAGGTACCTAGAACTCACCAGTCCCCACCCCCACATGATGATGACAGAACTGTGGACACACCCCAGCCCAGATACATAGTCACTCAGCAGTAGCCTGTAGTGATCAACACAGCTGTTCCACATCAACCCCAGAAGTGCCCACACTCACTCGTGGGACCTATGCAGAGGCCCTGCTAGGCTGTCTGGCTTAGCCAAAAGCTCTGGCCTGACTGGCTATCCACCCACCATGCTCCCAAAAAGTGCCTAAGCCAAGCTGTGGGCCCCAGCAGTCAGATCACCTCAGCTCCCCAAGTGGGATTTCAGAGCTCCCATGGAATAATCAGGGTAGGTGTAGAAAAGTACTTGGCAGGCCATAGCTTACCAGAGTTGTGTGGCCCCTTGTTATGAATGGCCATAGGGTTGTGACCTTTCAATCATCACCTACACTCTCAGGTCTGACTTCTCTGCCTGTCATCTACCACCAGCTCCTGCCTACCTCTTGTTGCCTCACAAGCAATACTTAGCACTGTGTGCCATGCTGTTATCTCTACCTGGAGTGTTTTCCCCCAGTCCCTGCCTTTGGCCTGGCAAATTCAGCTCAGGAGCAAGAAGACCCTGACTCCTCTATGACACCCTGTGCTTTTATGGCTTTGAATGATAATTACTCTAAGTACTGCCTTCCCCCAGCCAGACACTAGACTTAGAACTGAGGCCTGGGATATATTTTGTTAGAAGTGAGGAAGGACCAGCAGTCCCTTTCTTGGGCCAGTCCCCCTGCCACTCTCCCAGAGAAGAGGCCCCAGGATCACCAGGCTGGGTGGGTTTCCCCTAGAATGAAACTACTGCTTAGATTTTGGCTAGCTCAGTTCCCCTAAACCCAGCCATGTAAGGATGTGATATTGCCAAACCTCTGTGTCTAGGCTGGTGGTCCCTGATTTGGGCCAGGGGGGGTGGGGAGGTGGAGAGAAACTGAAGCCCAGAGAGGAGGAAGCTTTGTGTGAGATCATAGAGCCTCGCAGGGCTGACTTGCTAGGATGCAGTCTGGAATGTGGATCGAATATCCTGCTCTTTGGTAGGAGCTCACATTTATGGGAGATGAGACTTGCCGGTCCCTTTAGAGGTCACTGTCCATCCCAGTCCCTCAACTGGAAGAGAAAAAGCCAGGATGGGGACTTCTCTAGAAATGAGAGAAAAATGGGACCTTTACTCAACTGCCCCTCCATCCCCTTCTAGATCTTGTCCTTTGCTGGCTGTGGAGCAGATTGGGCAGCGGCCCCTGTGGGCCCAGTCCCTGGAACTGCCCGAGCCAGCCATGCAGCCCTTGCCTGCTGGAACCTTCCCAGAGGAGGTGGCAGAGGAGACCCCTGTCCAGCCAGAAAGTGAGCCAAAGATGTTGGACCCTGAGGAGGATCTGCTGTGCATAGCCAAGACCTTCTCCTATCTTCGAGAATCTGGTGAGTCTGACAGAAGAGGCCTTTTCCTGGGAAGTCTGGCAGGAGAAGCTTAGATCCTTGTGGAGCCTAATTTGGGAGGCATGACTGTGCCCTAAAGTCTGATGGGAGAGGTACAGCCCTTTCTAGGGAAGTGTAAAGGGGAGGCACAGTCCCAACCTGCCCTGGGTTGGTACACTCAACTAATTGGTCCACTTTCCCTTTGTCTAGGCTGGTATTGGGGTTCCATTACAGCTAGCGAGGCTCGGCAACACCTGCAGAAGATGCCAGAAGGTACATTCCTAGTACGAGACAGCACCCATCCCAGCTACCTATTCACACTGTCAGTTAAAACCACCCGTGGCCCCACCAATGTGCGCATTGAGTATGCTGACTCCAGCTTCCGCCTGGACTCCAACTGCTTGTCCAGGCCTCGCATCCTGGCCTTCCCAGATGTGGTCAGCCTTGTGCAGCACTATGTGGCCTCCTGTGCTGCTGACACCCGAAGTGACAGCCCTGATCCTGCTCCCACCCAAGCTCTGCCTGTGCCAAAGCAAGATGCACCTGGTGACCCAGCTCTGCCCACCCCCGCAGCCACTGCCGTGCATCTAAAATTGGTACAGCCCTTTGTGCGCAGGAGCCATGCCCGCAGCCTACAGCACCTGTGCCGCCTTGTCATCAACCGTCTGGTGACTGATGTGGACTGCCTACCACTGCCCCGACGCATGGCCGACTACCTCCGACAATACCCCTTCCAGCTCTGACTGGACCACGTACCCTGCCCAATCCTATGCAGTCACATGCTGGAGGGGACACAGTCCCCAGCTGGACTCGGGCTTCTGTTATCCCTCCTTCAGTCATCCTGGTGCCTGCATGCATGTGACTGCTGGACCAAGAAGAGCCAGCAACAGCAAGGCAGGGGGTGAGGGTAGGAGTCACACAACTCAGAGGTCAGCACCCCCAGCTCAAGATACATTTGGCTCCATTGTGGTGAGCCATGTGTCAGAGGAGAGAGAGACGGGCAGGACCTTGTCTCACCTTGGGGGCTGAACCCAGGCCTCTACTTACTTGCCTGCCCCAGACACCTGAACTGTGTAGACTTTCCTGGCCCTGGTTTCTCAATTCGTAGGGTGGGTCAGGCTCCCTACCTCCAGCCAGCCTCTGTTTCTGGGAGGATGGCAGCCAGAGGAACTGAGGCTGACAGTGACAGCCCCCTTGTGGGGGAACAGGCTGCCTTGGGGAACCACACAGTTATGTAGTATTTATTTATTTATTTTCCTTGGGGTTGGTCTCGGGTGAGCCACCCCAGCTTGGTTCTTCCCTGTGGAGAGCCCCATCCTGAGACGCGTGGCTGGACCCAAGGCAATCCTGGATATCCTGGTACTGACCCACCTGCCTGTGAATATGTCCAGTCTCTTCAGTCCCCAGCCCTGTCTTAGGGATGGTGGGTGAATGAACAAGAAAATGAAGCCAGAGCCTCAAACCCCACCAGAGTCTGTGCTCACCCCCTTGCAAGGGGGCACCATAGCTGCACAAAGCTGGCCTCAATGTGGCACAAGCCCCGCAGAGTATGTGCAGTGTTAGGAAGGGGGTACTGCTGCAGCTCTAATGGGTTTTCTTCCTGCCCAGAAAAGGTGCCTGCATGTTAGAGGAGGAGAAATACACATCTGATAAGACTTTATAAAATAATTATTATGACACAAAACCCAGTTTGGTAGTCTTTTTTCTTCCACTGATTTTTCTGTAATGACAATAAAATTATCCCTTCCATTTTGGAGCCTTCAGTGGGGCCTCTTTTGAATTCTGTACACAGTTTGTCCCCTTTGGTCCTATTTTCATGATTCCCTGTTTCACATCTGGACTAGCAGAGGCCGAGACATTTAGTTAAGCAGTCCCTGCTGGGGGAGTTACTGAGGGAGGGAGGAGACAAGAGAGCAGCCTTTCCCCTCTCCCTTGTTCTCCTAGGAAAATGAGAGACAGGAGGTGAAGGCCCATCGAACTGCCTATAGGGTCACTGTTCAGGCCACTGCTGGGTAGGGGGTGGTGACAGAGCCAGGCCTGAGTAAACAGGAAGTGCCCATTCAAAATGCAAGTGGAAAATGGAGGGGGAGGGGTGTTACTGTGGCCCACACTCAGCAGGCAGCAACTTTTGATAAGAGGGAGCCAACAGAGAACTCAGTCCTTGCAGGGAGAAGGTACAGTGAATACAAAAGCACTGAGACATGACTGGAAAGCTCATATTCCTGACAGTAAAACCTGGGAGAGCTCATTCTGGGCAGCTGAGTTAGGGATGGGCTGGTAGGGTCTGCCTGAGGTATGAATGTCAGTATTCCAGCTCAGGCTGGTTGACAGAGGTTCTTCTCTCAGAATCTTCTTGCACACCAGAGATGCAATCAAAATGAAAACCTCCTCCAGTATTTGATGGTCTGTCTTTGGAACACTTGGGCTACTGGAATCTTTCTATGGCCTGAAATTTTCTGTATCTTGGCATGAGGACCTCAGAGAAAACTTCCTCTGAACTTTGTTCATAGCCTTCTAACTTTTTTTTTTTTTGGAAGCAATTCTAAAGTTCCTGTTGTCTTAACCCTCAAACATTAGAAGTTGTAGATTAGAAGAGACAAATGCTGGTGGATTGAGAGCAGGAAAGAGTGAAGAATGGTATGTTTATAAGAAGGAGGCAGGAAAAAGATAAACAGAACTATGGAGGCCCAGGACCTTGGGGACATAAAAATGTTTATGACAAAGATTAGGAATGACATTGGGTAAAAGGGAACAAGAAGTGGGCAAGGGAGGGAGAGCTGTCTTTACTGGGAGCCCAGATATCCAGCCTGGCACCTTCCCTGATGCTGGTGGCATCTTGGGCCCTTAGCTGGCTTATGTGCCTCCTCCAGGTCACCATGACCCTGGCAGGGCTGTCCATGGTTTCTCATTCCTTCAGCCTTAATCTTAGCCCCTTTGTGGCTCCCAAAACAAATGAGGTAACCCTCTTGTCATCTCCACCCTAGCTCTGAGTCAGTGAATGGGCCAGTGATGGACATAAGGGTACTGTTCCCCATCTGGACAGACAGCTGCTGTGGCAAGAGGAAGCACAGAGGAAGGGGGATGTCTCAGGGACACCAACAGCAAGGACTAGGCGAAGGCTTTGCACCCCATGAGGCACTCCCTATAGCACTGGCAGTGGGGTTTAAATACTACTTAATCCACAGAGAGGAAATGGAGACTCCAAAGACCAGGAGCAGGCTCAGCCACTCAGCAACTGGGCACAGAACAGAGCTCACCCAGACTGCCCATCTGCCCCTGGACTGCTATATGAGATGGAGAGACAGGACAGTGGTTTCCAGGCAACTTGCTCTTGGATGCTGGCTTTAATCCACATCTCTGCCTGCTGAGAACTCTAAAACCATTGTCCTGGCCAATGGGGTCCTGTCCTTCACCCTGCTTCAGCTCAAGCCAGGGTCCAGCTCTTTCCTGGGGAGGGGCTGCCAGCTACTTCTGACACCTGACATTTATCACTTTGTTTCTCTACCAGGGGAGTTATCAATGCCTGCCTGGAATAGGGACAGTGGAGGGCATGTTGTTGAACTCCAGACCCATGTCAGAGACCCAGTCTAACTGATGTCAAAAATCTTCAAGCCAATGCAATCACTTGTGGGTGGTCCTGGGCCAATAAAAGGGGCACCCCTGCTGGCACTAGCTAGGGAAGAAGGGTGAGCCATCTGGTGGGTGCATAGGATCCTGCACAACCTACAGACAGTAACTGTCTGTAACCCTTCACCAGCACACGTGCTGCTCAGACACCAACTGGGCCAGACTCCATCAAGGCCCTGGGGACAAAACAGGGAAAAGACAGACATGGTCCCCATCCTCATGGGGCCCATGGCTAGTGAAAGAGAGGTAATAAACAAGTGAACAAGTTTTGAGAGTATAAAGAAAACAAAGCAGGTGGCAGGACATAGAGTAGTTTTGGGTGTGGGGACACCCCTGCAGCTGAAAGGGTCAGGGAAAGTGCTAAATGGAGTGGCAGTGAACCTGGAGACCAAGCAAAGAGCAGGAGCTGGTCATACAGGTAATGTGGTTAAGTGATACCCCCAAGTGCAAGGAACCACCCATGCAAGGAACCTGTGCAATTGCTTCAAGGCAGAAACAAACCTGGAATCCAGAACCAGTGAGAAAGACAGAAAGGATACATGATTTAACTCAGCCTGGTGGAGCACCTCTCCATTCTAGTGGGGAGAATTGGATTCTGATGCTCATTTCTAAGGGATGCACCTATCAGCTGGGCAGGATGGCTCCATCAGGTAGGAGGCCAGAAAGAAGGTGGGAAGCCAGAAGAGGCAAAGGTGGCAAGTTTGTGACCCTGGGTGGGGTTCATGTCCCACTGAGTTCTCACTGCAGCCCTGCACACCACAGAGGCTGAAGAGGTAAGGTACAGAGAGGGGTAATGACTGGCTCAGGGTCATAACTGCTCTTAAGAGACAGAGCCGATGTTCAAACCCTGACTCTAGGCCTTGTTTGCTCTGCTTTGCCTCCAAAGGCTGGCTTGCTAAAGCCTCAGAGCTCCCAAGATGCAGAGGGCATGCAGATGCTCAGCAGTGCTTTCTGGAGGAGGCAGCTAGGAAATGAAACTTGGAGGATTCTGCCAGGCCACAGGGACATAGATTTGGAGAGTGAACCTGTGTGGTCCCTGGGATCATAGGTCTCCTGGAATGATTTTGGGGCGGGGATGCTGCTAAGCTATCCAGGTGTTTCTTGTTGGTAAGGTTTTGCTAGGATGCTTAGCCCAGGATCACTGAGTGACCCAACATGGTCTGAATCACTAGGACCTTTGCACCTAGGCTTGGGTTTTAATTTGCTGACTGACTAGGTCTTTCTAGGCCAAAGCTTGGCACATGTTTGAATGGGGTTTGGCATGGTTGAACTGGCTTCTCTCTCAGATAGGACTCCCTCCCACCCTGGTGGCAAGGGGTCGGGGGGCTGACATGAGGTCCAGCCAAGAAGATGGGGTCCATGAATAGGGTATCTGAGCTGGGGATCCTACCAAGGCCCTCTTCATTCAGAAGTGAAACCTAGGCAGCCCTTTTACCCGAACCTGTTAGACCAGTTTTAATCTAAAATAGGCATAACTTCGCCAGAAACTCAACAGCCTCCCCAAATCTTGCTGGTTCAGTGGGGCAGCACAGCCAGCCAACCAGGGGTCACCCCAGTGGTCACTCTGGGCAGCATTGTAAGACAGGATAGACCAGGTCCCTGGAGGTTTAATTCTGGCCAGACTGCAGACCACAGGGTGGGTGGAGAGTGGCTGGGCTGGGCTTTGAGGGAATGCCGAGTAAAGGCTGATACTCATCTCTGAGCAGAGATGCAACAGGCACAGGGCAGAGGATACCAAAGCTGTCTGCGCAGTGGAAAGACAGCGTTTCCATGACCCAGGCCTGGTTGAAGCAAGCATGGCCTAGACAGCGGGAAGCCTCTGAGGGCTGAGGAAACTTGGGACTACCCCAACTTCTCCAGGAAGTCCTCCAAGACTATTCCACTCACATAGACCCAGTCCAGTGAATTCACTGGCATCAAATATGCCCTGATGGTGTGGCTGAAGAGGACATGCTGTCCAGCAAATGCTGTCCAGGAGGCAGAGTCCTGCTCCAGGGACTCTTTCAGAACTCAGGACCAATGACCCAGACCTGACTCTTCCTGTCTTCAGAGCTGAGCTCCTCCCCCGTCAGAGATATGGTTTCACTGAGTCTGGGTTGGGCCAGGGCTATACTCTTAAAAGTTTCAGCGTCCTCCCAGGAAGCATGTCACCCTCCCTGCCCCCATCAGCCCCACATCACAATGTGTGTGTGTGTGTGTGTGTGTGTGTGTGTGCGCGTGTGTGTGTGTTGACCTTTCCACTTGGCCAACGTTACTTTGTTTTTCCTCAACTCTTTCCAGTGGATGGCTGTGGTAGGAGGAGCTGCCGGGAGAGAGGTCTTCAGGAAATTTTTCCTCAAAGATCAGAAATTCGGAACTTGAGGGGATATGGGAAAATGAAGACTTATCCAGAAGGAGATGGGTTCCCAGGGCAGTCTGAGCAGGAGAGGGGGTGGGAGAGGGAAGGAGGAGGGACCTCCTTGGCAGAGCACACTGTTAGCGCTGGCATATGGTTGCCTGTGGGGTGTGCTCTGGGATCTTGGTGTCAGTCTGGCATCTACAGGACAGACTGAGCTTAGGCAGGCAACAGTGGGTGACCCTGGGCAGATTGCTTTATCTCTCTGAGCCACATATGGGTCAGTGTAGGCCAAGGTCCTGGGTTTGCTATATGTGGGATCAGCTTGCTCTCTCCTACCCCAGAAGTGCCCAGACTGTGTTCCTGTAGCCCTGTATCCCTTCATTTGAGGCTCCAAGTGTCTGGTTGAGAGCTGTGGACTCCGGGGGCAATAGCGCCCCCCCCAGTATGTTGTCAACCCCTCCCTTTCTCTTCTGGGTTTCAGCAGGTGAACTGGGGGTGCCTCGCAGAGGGCAGAGAAGGCCTAATATGGGTACCCTGCCCCCACCCTGGTGAGGTGTTTTCGTCAGAATCGCAGCAGCTGTGGCTGGAGGCCTCTTCCCAGGAAGAGCCCAGCGCCTCTTCCAAGAACTCGGAGGAGGGCGGAGGGAGGGGAGCGGGGGAGTTAATTTTAAACCAAACAGCCTTCCCTGCTTCTCAGGAACTGGTTGCTCAACGTGCTCTGGCAGGTCCCAGGCGGGTGGGCAGGCCTGGTGCCAACTCAGAGGTGGTGGGGGTAGAAGACACA